TTTTTTTTTTTTTTTTTTTTTAACTCGATTCTGTTGAGTATTCCAGTGTTTGGCAGAGCAGTTCTGTTTTGTCCATCTGTGTTTGGAGAATTTTGCCAGTTCTTGCATCATTCCTTGTGTTTACTGAAATGAATGATACCAGCATATTTAACGTACTGTTGTGCTTTGCAGGGGACTACAGACTGAAATAAGCAGCGAGGATGCTGGATTTCAAACAGATAGGAAGCTTGAAATTTTAGATCAAAATAAAAATGTTGGTGAGTAGTTCCTACTTGTTGTTAATACTTGAAGCTTGAACTTTCCTATTCCTTTGAAGAAACAACTATGTAGTCTATGTAGTCAACTCTTGGATTGTTATAATCAGATTATTTTCTTTACACTTGCTCTAGCTCTAGTGTGTTTTCTTTGAGATGAGGTGACAAGAATTGGCTGCAGTTTTGGGGTTTTTTGGGGGTTGTTTGTAATAAATTTTTGTTTTGGCTGTAGTCAAAGCTGCATTGTGCTGTTATAGGATGGAGTGGGTGGGACAGTGCTGAGGAGGGGGAAGGCTGGACACAAAGGCAATCCTGCCACATGGGGTGACATGGCTGCCACATCCCACTGGGGAAGAAGAAGCCATCAGTTGTTCCTTGCTTATGAAATTAGGATGAGTTTTCTGCATTAAAATGCAAATATTTTTAAGCACAAGTAACAAAGTGGCACACTGATCTGAAAGAAAATGACGACATCCTGTGCATCTAATGGGCCATAAATTTCTCTGTGGATTTAGTGGCCCGACTGATTTATTTTGTTCTTTTGTGACACTGATTTTCAGATTTATATATTAGGCCTTCTATAGTCTTTTATACTCAGTGCACCTCTGTTAATAAATCATAACAACACAAGTCCTGTTTATATGTGATATAAATTTTAACTACCATTTTATAGCATACATGAAATGAGACTTTTTTTCCCCCCTACAAAATACTACTCCATATGACTATTCCTGAAAAATGTATTTTTTGCCAATATTGTGTTTAAAAGAATTTGACCAAAATATTCATGTGTTTCGGAGATGATCACATGTTTAGTCCAGAGGTGGAAAATTGAATTACCAGACCAACTAAAAGGTAGGAAAAATAGGTTTGGCAAATTGCTCTTGTCCATATGTTTTTCATTTGGTTCCTTGTACAAATACGTAAGGTGTATTTGACAAGATTTGTAACATTAAAACTTAAGAACAGAAGCCCCAAATGTGTAGCTAAATAAAAACTAAACTAAATAAAAACTGCATCTAACTCAATATTGAATAGTCCTTGAGGTCTCGAGTCACTGATGCCTATAAAATGAACTGGAATTTGTTAGCACTTTTTAAATTGTTCTAGAATAATTTTTCTATTAAGTTGATGCATGTTATCTGTAACCTGTTTATTAAGGAAGAATACTTGAGTTAGAATATAATTATTTGACATTATTAATCAAATATAAATATATCTTTAAAAGGGTTAGCGAAAATATTAGCATCAGTGAGAAGCTACTAATTGTTACTAAATACACTGGATACAGAGCTTCATGATGTAATAAGGAAGCTTGAATCTTTTTGGCATTTGTATTAATTTTGGAATCTTTCTTTAACTTAAAGATCACAGTGATACAAAACTCCTTCCAACAACAGAAGAAGGAAAAGAACTTCAGCCAGCCGAAATTAAAACAGTCGATTTTCAAGAGAATAACAAGCTTGAAATTGACAGACTATCAAACTGCCAGGCATGTAAAAATGACATCTCTGTAAATCATAGGAATTATCCTCCACTGATTTCAGAAAAACAAGATGGCAAAACAAATGCAACTGGCTTGGAAACAGTAAAAACTCAGGATGTTGGAATCCAGACTTTGGATAGCAATTTGGGAAGGACTGAGCAGAAGGAAATTACTGTTCCTCAGGGTGTCGAATCATCCACATTTAGAGAACTGGTTCCTCAACACAACAGAGATAAGAACAACTCCCTTGCTCAAGTGATGCATGGAATGCATCAAGAGAGTGAAGATACTTCAATAGAACAAAATCTTGAGACACAAGAAGTTACTCATAAAAAAGTAATTCCAATAAAAGACCAGAGTCACATCTATATAAATGGCAGTGATTTTGCTTCACCAGAAACAACTGCTGAAACTCCAGGTGACTCTCCTGTAAAAGATCAGCCTTTTTATAGACCGGACACCAAACCTAAACCCAAACCTGCTAATGAAATTACAAGGGATTACATACCAAAAATTGGGATGACTACTTATAAGATAGTTCCTCCAAAATTCTTAGAAATGATGAAGAGTTGGGAATCAGAAGTTCTATCAGATCATAAGGATCAAGAGGTATCTTCTTTGGAAGAGCCCAAAGAAGTCATAGTGCAAACTGAAATTCCTCATCTGTCAAAAAGTGTGGGTCCTTTACAGGTTGGGTCACAAAATGAATCTGCAGCAGCAAATGGTCTGCTGCAGAGAGTGAACAGCATTTCTGAGCATACTGTGACCTCTGGAGCTGAGATTGCTACCAAGAGCAACCAGATGGAAAGTGAGTCTTTCAGGCAGCCTGTCCCACTGAAGCTAAACTTGGATAATACAAATGCTTCTTCTGAGACTCAGGACAAGTCAAATGCATTAAGCCCATTAAGTCCTACAATGAAGCCTAGTTCTTTTTATCTGCAGATGCAGCGAAGAGCGTCAGGTCACTATGTGACATCTGCAGTTGCCAGAAGCACAGTTTGTGCTCCTAATTCAATTCAAAATGAAGTTAAGAATACAGAGATGGGAAAAAAAATCTCATCACCTGATTTGACTGCTTTGCCTTTACCAAAAACAACTATTCCCTCTCCTCCTGCAGATCAAGAAAAAGTTGATGATGGAAAAATCATTGAACCTTCCACTTCTCCTGTTAAAAGCAATAAGCCTTTAAATGTTCCCTCCTGTCCTCCAGCACCACTGAATCTAAAAACTCTCAGAAATTTTGCAGTTCCAAAGCCATACTCCAGCTCAAGACCATCTCCTTTTGCTCTTGCTGTCTCATCTGCCGTCAAAAGGTCACAATCATTCAACAAAACGCGTACAATCACTAGCCAGGCACCCAGAGAGGAATTTCCAGTAGAACTCTCCTCTGTCCCTTTGGCAGCTGGATTCTCCTCAGCTACCTCCATGCCTGAAGTGAAAAGTCCTTCCTTACAGACCATAACAGCGGGGTCACAAAATTGTCTAATGGATAAGGTAAACTTTATTTCTAATACTAATTGACTGTGGATCCAGTGCCATCAAGAGCAGCTGATGTAAAGGCTTGTTTCTGAACCGCTTCCTGGCCAGAAAGTGCTGTATTTGTGCAGGGAAAACACCCTGTCCACCTGGTGTCCACCAGCAGCACAGCATTATAATGAAGTGCAGGAATACAGGGAATGTTAAAAATGAAAGCAACATCATTCAGATGATTGAAATAATTATTTCCTGCCATAATTAGCATCCCCTGCTTTAAAGAACTGTAAATTAAATAGTCATATATCCTGTGTAATACTTATTTTTGTGTTTGGAGTGTTTACAATTTGTTCTTTATAGTTCTATGTGTTGGTTTCTTAAATTTAATTCTGAGTGGTGTGATCCATTTGGCTTCAAGTGGTCATGCCACAAGCGCACTTGAATGGAGCTGTAAAGTTTTGCCAGCATAATTGCTTGAGAGAGAAACTATGTGCTATGCTGGAAGTGTGGCTGATGTCAGAAATGTCGAACCAAGCAAACACTAGAATGGCAGCAGTTTGCTAAGCAACCTTGTGCCAGGTTGTTTCAGATTTTCCATTTATAACTAATTCAGATGAAAACTTTTTGGCTTCTTTCCTTCCACTTCCTCCCTTTATAGAAAGACAGCCATGTGCACAGTGAGCAGAAGAGTCAGGCGCAGTCAGGTGCTTCCCCTGGCCACCCACGCCCTGTCACCAAGAGACAAACGGCGGTGACGCTCCCGCGCGCTGACCCCGAGCAGATCCACCAGAGCCTGCTGGCTGCAATCCGCTCTGGAGAGGCTGCTGCCAGATTGAAAAGGGTGAGTTTTCATCATTGCATCCAAAACAAAGAACTCATGGTGCTTCCTTCAGAATTACCATACTAATGCCTGATTCTAAAAGCAGTTAGTTTTGGCACAAACTGCTGCCAAGAGGTCTCTTAACAATGGGAAGGGAGGTGGGGAAGAGGGTCAGTTTTGCAGAATGAACTGGTGAATGCACCCACAGAGCTTCAAACGTCTCTAATTTCATACAGTACGAACATAATCAAAATTTTCCTGAAATGAAATAGAAATCTCTATTTCATTCTCTCTTATTAAGTATCTTGTCCGTAAAATCTGACTTGTTTGTGTTTACATGGTTTGAAAGGGTTTGGCTTTAGAAACCTGCTGAACAGCTTTGTTCTAGACCTGAAGTGGCTACAACATTTTGCAGGCACATAACACACATTTCTGAAGACAATTTTCTTATTTACGCTTTATCAGGTCCTTAATCTGTTAGGCATCATAACTAAGATATTTCTCAATCTTTTGTCAGCAGTCCCAGAAGGACCATCTTCCCCTACCCCCTCTGGTTAAAAACTTTCTCTCCTAAAATTGACCTAGATATCTCTCATTGGGTAAAACAGTCTGCATTTCTAAAATCTGTACTGTTTTTAGTATGCAACCAGAAAATCATGGTTTCACAAAGTTTTCTTGACTTCACATTAGTAATTTGCATTCTGTTTTGAGGAATAATTTTTCATTGCAGAAGGTCGAAGAAATTCAGTAGGTTTTTTTCCTTCCCTTTTCCACTTCACCTAATACTGTGTGGGGATATTTTTCTTTGTTTGTTTTATGGAAGTCTTTGATTCCCTCGGGTCAAAATCTCACAGAGAATGGTCAGATGGTGGAACGTTCAGTTTCATAGGTTTTTGTTTCAGTGTAGTAGTGCAGCAGCCTCTCTGAGGCTTGTAATATCTCCCATCCTTTCTACAGTGAATAGGACTGAGTTTCCTGGAAAAGTTGCAAGCATGCTCAAGTAGGGTTTGATCTCCTGTCAGTAAAAATGGTATATAATACACTGTAGGGTTGCTTTTGACTACATGACAGTAATCATATTAAAAACAGGATAAGATTAAGAAAACGCTATATTGTTCAGAATCTGTTAGAGGTAAAATCTGTTCTACCAGAAATACTGTTTGGATTTTATTTGCATATATTTTTAGGATTTTTTTTTCTTCTAGCGCATAATTACATTCTGAATAATATGACACTTCTTTTATTTATTCATTCTTTATAATAGAAATGTTCTTAGTGTAGAGTTGACCCATACAGTCTTTATCAGTCAGGTACAAGAATGGCATGGGGAAGGGGAGAGAGATAATGACTGAAATTGGTTTTCCCCTCCCTTTCTCTTCTGTGGGTGGGAGATGTGCTTTGTCAGTAAATTACATGTTGAGACTGAGGTGATGAAAGGACTGTACTTTTTAAGAAGAAATTATAATAATGAAGAAGCTGTAACCATAAAGAAGAGCACTCTGCAGCACAGAAATCTGAACCAGGCTTAAAAAAAACCCCTGGAACACAAACAAAATGCAGTGAAGAACTCACTGAAGTTTTGCCAAGCATAAAATTGTACATGCTGTTCTTTTCACTCTCAGAGTGCATATGCTGTGGTACAGGTATGTCTGACAGCAGAAAGAGATTTTTTTGGCCTACAGCAAAGTTAATAAAAACATGGTCTCATTTTATGTTTAACATGGACAACTGGCAGTAGTGGGAGAGAGAAATGAAGCATTTTGTATCAATAAGTTATTTGCACCCAAAAGTGCTTTTGAGAATTGAGAGGATTTCTAGAATGCATGCACCTCATAGATTCCAGTATCGTGCTGCAGTCAGGAAACGGAGTAATAATCTGATCCATTTGAACAATGAGAGATGTCTGTCAGGTACTTGCTTCTCTTTTTACCTCTCATCATAATCTCTCTTCTTGCAGCTCTGAGAGCCATTTAAAAAATAAAATCCGGGCACGGCTTGCCAAGTTCTTTAATTTTTTTTCACCTTCTGTTTTACTTAATATGTTATGAGTATGCAGTGCTGAGATCTGTGGCCTTTTGTGTTGCTGGTCTTTCCTGTTCAATAGAGCCCTCAGTAATTACTAACCTAAAATGGGTCAAGTGAGGTTTCTTTTTAAGGATTTTTCTCTTGAGAATGTTTTTATTGTGTTGGGTAAACTGTGTGCTGTGGTATGTGGTTCTCATGGCTGTGGAGCATCTAGAGCTCCCATTAACTCCAGCTGGAGCTGTTGGGTTATGCAGTTCCACTGAAAATCAGGCTTTGGCTATTTCTGCTAAAAGTTACGCTTTGCTTCTGATAAAAGAAACATTGCCACGGTATAAATTGTTAGAAGAGTTAGTAAGAAATCAGGTTTGTTCAATATTTAATAAAAACGTTTGGTTTAGTGATGTTTTCAAAGTACTTCTTTGCAACCAGATGTGGAGAAGGACTAAAAATTATGTGTCTTTTGAATAATTATACATGAAAGTTTTAGTCAGGATAAAATATGTTTCTAAGTAATGTCTTCTGTTTCCTCTTCCTTGGAATATATGCTTAGTTAAGAAATCATATAGGAGGTGTTCCATTGCAGTGAGAAAAACAAGAAATGAAATAACATTGTGTAACATATTAGAGAGATAAAAGTCTGGAAATTTAGGTTAACATTTCTCTAATATTTTTTTCTTTCTTTTTTTTCTTCCCACACCCTGCCTCCAGGTTGGTCCTCCATCAAACACCATAGCTGTCAATGGAAGAGCCAGGCTTAATCCTTTGTATTCCACAGAAGCTAAGGCTAATCCCTAGATATTATACCAAATGTTTTGCACTTTACTACTGCTTCTTAGGCCAACTTAATACTAACTACAAATTTTTGAAAGTGTAAATGCGAGTATATGTTAATATATTTTTGTCAACGGTAATAACAATTTCAAGCTGGGTCTTTTGATGCCTTGAAAAGATTATTAGAATATGTAAATTATAGTAATATTTTGCCTTTTTATCTTTATAAAGCTGACTGTGCTGCTAAAATGTTTTAAGACAAGGTGTAGGTGAGCTTTGCTTATGATAGAATGAGAATTGAAGATTGTTGATTTTAGCCTTCAAGACTGAACAATGTGTAGCACTGTGCTGAAATTACAGATTGGAAGAGACCTAAAAGGTTTAGATTAAATAATTAATTTTCGACTGTGTATTACTTTAACAGATTGTATGAACTTAAATATACCACATGCTGCCTCCATATTACTTTATTAAATTAAAATTGTAATTAGTAGAAATCTTAATTCAATGCAATACTTTGTTCCTGTCTAAAAAAAAAAAAAAAAAATGATGTTTTTGTTCCTTTAGCAGACAGTAATTGGGATATGTATTTGGATTTTTTTTTTACCTTCCTGTAATTGTTTTTCCTGATAGCACACACACAAAATTCAGGACATAAATTATTGGAAACTTTTGTACTACTCATAACCTTTTCTTAACAGTAGTGTGACATGATGTTTCTCAACTACTGTTTAAATATCTGTATAGAATATTTACCTAGCACTCAGATAAGCAATAATTTTTGTGAACTAATTATATCTTTAAGTAACCATCAACTTAGAGTCACTTACTAATAAAAAACAAATTCCAGTTTTGATACCTAATGAAATAGAATATTTTTTTCACTAGAAGTATAACTAAAAAATGAACTGCTTTGGACTTATTAATATAAGATATTTCAATCTTAAAATAGCACAAAACCACATAAATCATGCTTATGTCAGATATCATATTTATAGATTAAGCATTAAATACAAAAATAGGAATATCTATTAAAAGAAAATGTTCGATGTTATATTTTATCTATTTTGAGTTTTTTCGCCAAGATTATACATTTTGGGGGAGGGGTGGAAAAATGATCACATTCATGATGAAATAGCTACATTATGGATGAATGCAGCTAGTCCTGGGGTATTTGCCATATTAAAATATTTTTGTGCTGGACTTGATTTAAAATTAAGCAATTGTATTTAGTTTCTGTTCTCTAACTATATATATATATGTATTGTATTTTAGAAACATTATGTAACTCAGTTTCAGAAACTGATCTATATGTGCATTTTCAAATTGTTTGCTGCCAGGTTTTTGTGCAATAATCTGAAAGAGGTCTAATTACTTTTCTAGTACAGAGTCAATTACCAATTACAAGTTATGGTGTTAACTTAATGCTGAACCCCTTTAAGGAATATTTTAGTAAATAGAAATTCATAAAGAGATCTGAAGAACATTTTTTTTCATTGCTGTTCTCTCCTGTTTTCTCTCCTGTATTTTAGTCCCTTGTCAATGGTGTTACAACTTCCAATGTGTTACCACTTCCTTGTTCTTCCCTCCAATCCAGAGTTCATTCTGAGTGTGGGGGAAGCTCACATGGTAGTTCAATAGATCTGTTTCAGGGTCTGACTGCAAAAGAAAGTTTCAACCTTCACTTGAAAATAGTGAGATAAAAGATATAGGGGCTTTTCTAGTTTCTAACTGGGACTTACATTCTGGATTTCACGGTGTCTTGAGGGACTTGAAAATTGTAACTTGCTCCCTGGATTGTAGTCTGTGCTCATTGTGCTATTTGAAGTCTGTGTTTTAGGCATTCCTATACACCATGCTGATCTTAAACTGCCAGAGAAGGGGTTGCATTGTGAAAGGGTCTTTTCCTTGTACTTTGAGTGTGTGGGAGTTAGAGGTTTTTTTACAAATGTTGGTATTCTCTGCCAAGGTGACCAAAGTTATTTAATAAAATAATTTTAATCTCCATCTGTGCTAATACAAATATATATGATGTTTCACTTTTTCAAAAAAATCAGCATTGTCCAATTTCTTATTTTGGGGAAAGTTCAAATAACTATACTTTGTTCTTTTCTTTAGTTTTGACAGCAAAACTGTACTACTGTATGTTTCTTAGTCCCATATATTAAAAATAAACATGTGAACTCCTGAAGGCAAATATCATCTGATGTAACAGAGATTAAAACCACCTTGCTTGAATTTTAGGGTTTCTTCTTTGTGTAACTGAACTTGCTTGATAACTAACTGAAATGTCTACACATGCTATAGTACTGTGAAACTCTTCAATGAGACTTGTGACTAGCTGGCAATTCTGTTTAGCTAAACTTTCTCTTTCCCTCTTCTTCCAACATGTATATGTAAGACATTTTTAAATCTTGCTATTGTATTTCTACAGATGCTTTTTTTTCTTACACTCTTTTATTAAAGTCTACTAGAGAAACTCTTATTGATGAACTTGATGTGTTTATTCATTATTCAAGCATAAAAACATTTCTGCTCAAATGACAAGTAAGTGTTTCTAGTAACTGCAAGCCCAAGCTAGACAGCATTTAATTTTTGTTGTGGATACCTTACATGCAGGGTAAACAGACTATTTTTTGAGCCCAAGAATACTTACAGTTTGGACAACGTGTGTCACGGATGTTTTCCAACAGGAGGCAGGTGGTTACACCATACCTCTGATAATCCCCTTGCTTTTGCAGGGCAGTCAAAATGTTTGGGAATGAGAGTCAGGATAGTAAATGAAATGTCAGTGTAATTGTCCAGAAGAAACAGCAGGCCCAGTGAAGGTGCATTATAAGCTACTGGTACCAGTTCTTTGAAGAAGCAGCAGGTATCCACATAGCACGGTGCACAGTTCAGACTCCAGGGCTTTCAAGTTAAGGAGGGCTTGCAAAGCAAAGAGGTAGGTAGTAAAAATGATCTTGGAAGCTATTATAGAAGATGTATTTTTAAATTTATTCTACAGAAGAATAAAATTAAGACTACAGATGGAGAAGGGAGCAGTTTTGCTGGGACAGCATCACCAGACAACTTTTGGAAGTATTCTTGTGACTAAAGTTTATAAGGCCAAGGTAAGAGCTCTTATACTTTGCAGCTGCAAATTGTTGGACCACTCAGTGTCACCATTTTTTGGATGTACATTAAGTAATCAGTGCCTGAGTTTTTCCAGCTACTTGTAATTGTAGCATACAGCATGACCATCTCCAGGGAAGACATGAAAATTATGTGGATGTGGACAAGAAGCATGGTATCACACATGACAGTATCTACTACTTTTAGCTTTATTTCAGGTAGCTGTTACCAGCCAAAGCAAACTTTTTCAGTTGGAGCTACTCAGAATCCTGTTTTAAGTTGTCAAAAGGTTTTCAATACTTCTATTAGGTAGAAACAAGGAAAAAGTGCTGTTGAGCAGTAGAGCATACATCCTTGAGTGCTTGGCCAGACTGCATCCTATGAGGTATTGGACAACTACAGCAAGATAAAAGACTAAATGTAAATGACTAAGCAAGTGGGTTGGGAGCCAAACAAATAGAGCTCCTTGCAGAAGGGAATATGTCTTAATTTTTCTGTCTGGGTTAACTGACTGTGAGGCTGAAGTCAAAATGGTGTGTTTGGACCAGAACTGCCACAATCATGAGCCCAAAACTGTTTGTGGATGCTGTGAATGGTCTGAGGTTCTGGAGCTGTGGTTTTCTGTTAGTGCTTGGCTGCTGATGGCATAGCTGAAATATCACTTGTAGACAGATTTCTTATGAAGTCTATTTTGGTGATAAAGCAAAGCTGTAGCAATATCAATGGAAATGTTTCACAGCTTCTAATTGAAAAGCTTGCCTTCTATGGGGGATTATTTTATACAACGCAGTTGAAAATCACAGCTAGGATGGATGTTTCTTTCTTTAAAATTTCTGATTGGGTAGCTTTGTGAGAGGGAAGGTGTCCTTGCTAAAATGACATGAAATTTCCAAGTATGGTAAACTATGCTTGTTAAAAACTTAAAAACTTAATTTTGTTTTGTCTTCCTTGAAAGAGCTATTTGGTATGGGAACTAACACAGACACTTTTCATCAAGAGTCTATTGCAATATATTTTACATAAAGTTGCATTAATTTTTGTCATCTGTTCCTACTTATTAACACAAGCAATTTACATTTTTGGTGGGTTTATGTCTTCAAGCAGCATATTAGGGAGAGATGTATGGTTTTCTCATTTTTAGCTGTATAAAACCTTACATTCTCTAACAGGACAACAGATAGTGTTTAAGTGAAAGAGGAGATGAACACTTCTCTTTTCACATCCCTCCATCACCATGAAAAGATCACCAAAACTGTTAATTGACTAAATTATTTAAAACAGTTAAGAGAAAAAAAAAAAAAAACAATGAGAGGGGAAAGGAGAAGGGATGAGGTAGAGATAAAAGGAATTTTGGTTTTTTAGATCTGGATGCTTTTTTGAACAGCATGTTCCATATTTCCTAATATACTGATGGAAGAAAATCTCTTAGCATTGGGAAAAGGAAAAATAAATGTATCTAAAAAGAAAATGAATAATTTTAGGAAATTTCAACTTAGTAGTAGTATTATTAGTATTATTTCAGAGTGATTGTGCATGTATGGACCTGGAAATAATTAGGGCTGTGTCATTCCCAGCTGAAATAGACCTCTATTGCCAAAAAGAATCCCAAAGAGTTTAATTGGAATGTAAGTTGTTCACATAAGGAATGTAATTCCTCTGTGAATTTCCCAAGCTTTGAGAACAGTCTCGTGCCCATAACGTAGCAGTGTCATTATAAACAAACACCAGTGATGTTTGCTTGTTAGCAGTTTGGGATTGATTGTACAATGAGTGTATTTTTAGTGGCTGTTTTGTTGATAGCAGCTGTTGTGGGTGAAGAACAACTGTCTTCTGTTTCAACAAATCTGCTTGGTGATTTCTAAAACATTAGTTTCCATGAGTGTCTGGTGAATGTCCCGAAGAATGCTTATAGCAGGAGTTTGAGGGGTAAAGTGGAAAGCTTATTCTGAAGTTTACCCTTAGTCATTTCAATGCTCTCAGAACAACTGATACACTTTTTACTGAGAGCTGGGTCACAGTTAATACAAATAACAAACATGATATATAAGCTGTCCTTGTTAAGACAATACTAGAATGCATTCTTCAGAAATTCCTAGTCTTCCAGACTGATGGAAGAAATTTTCTTTAGCCTCTTCATCCATTTTACCAGTTGTTCTCAGTACTAAGCAGGGCAGATTTTGCTTTGCCCATTATGTTTGATGTCATCCCAGCCAGAGCAACAAGAATACTAAATACACTAAATACTGGGCATCCAAGGAAATCTTCACAAGTGACAGAATAGTTTAAAGAATGCAACTATTAAAGACTGGGTTTGTGGTGTATGTGGTGGTGACCATCCAAAGGAGTAAAGGAATTGAAGCATACAATCAGCCCAGGGCAGAGGGAGAGTTAAGTCCACAGAACCTCTAACAGCTATTAAAAAAAAAATCTGGCCAACAGTGGCTGTTTGCAAGTGCTAGTGTACTCAGTGTGCTAGTGCTGGTGTACATTAACCACTAGAGTACTTACTAATGGTTAAAATATTTCTAGTTTAAAAATATTTAATAAACTATAGCTGGACCCAGATTTTCGTAGTTTTCCCTCAGATATATATGTCTGTCTGCCTGTTTAATGTCTTTTTCCTTTTTTCCCTATATGTGATCTCCAAGAAAGCAAGAAAGACTGCAATCTAGCAGGGTATAGTCACACTTAATCTGAAGTGGCAAAGAAAGAAAAAATGAAATTATTTCACATTTGCTTAAGGCTTTATATAGCTCTGATTTATCAATAATACAATAAAAAGAATATTTTAAGTAGTTAAGCTGATTGCAGTTTTCTAAATTAAATACTTGAACTAAATGGGGAGATGGAATGCAGGAGCTGAAATTGGTCACCTTTGGTTAAACAGCAGGACTGGTCTGATCAGCAGACACTATTCCATTGCTTCAATTGCTAAAAGCTAATTAAACACTTGCATTCTGCTAACTGAAGTGTATTTGGTCACCTGCAGTTTCAAAGTGCATGTACCAAAAAGGAAATCCTCACGCTATGAACGCCAAGCTGCTGCGATTCTAACTCAGCACCTAAGTGAAACAAGGAGGTGAAGCAAAGGTTGAAGAAGTGGATGGCAGAAATCTTCCTTTTTAAATGGCAGAGGACTGGGAGCAAGGTGGGCACCCAGGCAGTGCACAGGGGGGTGCCTCATGGCCAAGGGTTAGCGTGCTGCCAACCCTTCTCGAGAGCAGCACGGGTGCCAGGGTGGTTCTTGAATGGGCAGAGGGCAGTTGAACTGCTGGTGGCCCCAGCTCTTTAAGCATGTTTTGACCATCCCTTACACACTGTGTAACCTTTACCCGAGCTCTACTGTGAGCTGAGCTTTAACAGAAGCTGCCATGAGACACAGGCACAAGCTCTATGTATCAAGTTCACCTGGGGCTTGGCTCCTCAGGAAAAGGAACCACGAGAGAGGGAGGTCTGGGGGACATGGGCTGCAAGGCTCTACCTGTAAATAGTGACTTTTTTTTTTTTCACTTTAAGCTCTGTCTGCTGTTGTGTTTTTTAAAAGAAAATTTCTAAAGTAAAAAAATATTTTAGAATGTCAGGTGTGCTTGGAAGTTCAATAGACGTAAAAGACATAGCCTTTCCTGCCAAGTAAAGATAAAAGGTTGAAAAGGTGTAAAAGGTGTAAGGAAGAGTCTGCTAGACCATATTGTCAGGAAAAGGAAGTAGGTGTGTCTTGTGTAGCTATTACATTACTTTAAAAACAAAATTTGGAGGTGATATGAAACATGAGTTGCCTGATCATCAGTGGGAAAAACAACATAAGCAGGAATCAAATCTCTAAGTGAAAAATAAAGATGTTAAAAGCAGCAGAATTTCAGATTGAATTCTAACTCTTTAAATAGCTTATCTAACAGTGGAAGGCAATTTGGGTGAGAGAACAAAACAAGACCTTTGGAAACCATGTGAAGAGAGATTAAAGGAATGAGTTTGCTGTAGTTAAAAAAAAAGAAAAAAAAAAGGGAAAACTGATTAGGATGACCATGTTTCAACACAAAAGTTGCTACATGAATGCAAGTGATTAATCATTGTACCTTCAAGCAATAGACTGTTCTAGCTTCAGAGCATAAAGGAAGAATAGTTATGCTGGGTCAAACTGAAGGTTTATTTAGCTGGCTATCTGGCTTTTGACAATGATCAAAAGTATATTCTTAGGGAGAAACATAAGAGTATAAAATAGACAAAGTAATACTTACCCCCAAGTATGCTAAACCTTCAGCAATTTTTAGCTCTGAGAATGCCAAAGTGAAGATGATTTCTGTGTATTTAATAGTCTTAAATAGTCTTGTTCAAGAGCTTGGCAACTTAATTTTTCAACTCCCGTAAGTTTTG